TTGTGAGATTTTCTTGTGATTTTTTTTAAGCCCGTTAGTTATCATTAGTGTTCATGTACTTTAGGTGTGGCCCTAGAACAATTATTCCAGTGTGGCCCAGGGAAGCCAAAATACTGGACACCCCTGAGCTGCATTGCAGAGCAGTTTTACACAAGCCCAACCATATGCTACAACCACCTGGGGAGACTAGAAAAAATTCTCATAACTGGTTCTTAACCCAGACACATCAAGTCTGAGCCTCTAAGAGTGGGGCCCAGGTAGAGGTACTAGTTTCAAACTCCCTTCAGTTGATTCTAATGTCCAGTCAAGGCTGAGTACTGAATGGGAAGGAATGGACTCAGGATCACACAGTTTAAGGGAGAAAAGCTTTGGAGAAGGCCATGATCAGAAGCTGATCATGTGAACGTTTTACCTCTTCTGCCAACATTCCACGGGCACAACAAAAAGAAAAGAGAAGCTGGCCATGGTGGCGGCCACCTGTGTTCCCAGCTATGCAAGAGGCTGAAATGGGAGGACTGCAAAAGCCCAGGAGTTTGAGGCTGCAGTGAGCTATGATCATACGATTGTACTCTAGCCTGGGTGACAGAGTGAGATCTTGTCTCTATAAAAAAATAGAAACAGGGGAAAAAGCTTCAGAAATTAAAAGACCCAGAACACTAATGGGGACTCGCAGGATGTTCTCTGAACAGGTTCTAGCCTGTAGCCAGGACTTGAAAGTTACCTCAGTATTATCACTACTGTTGGGAGCTACCTCTATGGTAAAAGCAATGTTAAGAAGTGAAAAGGAGAAACATATCTAAATGTAGTATATGTATTTGCTCACATACTAAGATTGGTTTTTCTTCTGTGGAAGAATGATTGTTTCGTGACTATTTTCATGAATTTTCTTTCTGGTGGTGCGCTCATTCTTTTTACACACGTTTGAATTAAGATATTAAAAAGATGTGTAGTCAAACCATAATAGAAGCTTTGAATTGTTTTTCCTTTACTGATCTTTCCGTTTTCAGCACCCATTTCTGGACTGTGTGTTGAGGGTGGGATTATGACAAAGATACAGTCCTGAGCAAGATGAATGCGGCCACTATTTACTCAGCCTTGGAAGTAAGGCAGAAACATTGTAAATAAATGTCATTAACCCTAACAAAAATGAAAATATTAATCAATTTCATCATAATTTCCTCTGAGTGATCACATCCTGTGTGTCTAAGAACACTTGCTGATGTTGAGAGGCATCTGTCAGTATCAAAGAGTGGATGAACTAACATCTGTATAGGAGATTTGAAAATTAATGAATCAGAAATTTTATCTATATATTAGAAGGCAATATTGTTTGGAACCACAATATTGTTTGGAACCACATTTGTAACAGATGTGAGATTACATCTAGTGGCATTTTGACCCCTCACTCCACCAATTTCCCACTTACACACCTGTCATATGATTTTCAATTTGAAATCTCTTTTGCTCATGGGTGAATGAACCACATCACAGGCTTCCTGGGAAAGCTCTTCCCACATTTATTCTTAGGTAAACATCTCTTTCTTGTGGCTTCTGGAGGGCTATTCTCCTGTTTCTAAGAGTCATTATTTTTAACCTAAAGTAAGAAGGGAAGGACATGAACCACACTAGAAATAAAGCCCCAGGACTTTGGTGAGACTACATGGGACACATCCTAAAATAGCCTAATGATTTAGTGGTTCTTTTCCCAGAAAGCTGAGAGGCACTCCCATGGAAAGAAAGATGTTTCAAGGAAGTAATGTTAGTAAGTGGGAAAGTGAGTAGTTTGTGATGTGTGTAAATCTTGGTGTGAGACTGCGCAGTGATGACATTGTGGTCACCTGATGGAGCTAAAACTAAAACGAGGAGGCAATGCAGAATATCAAACAGAGAACAGTTCAGATATGCAAGAGTTTGTCTAGTGTTCACTCAGAAATTCACAAAACAGTTCAGCTAAGAAACAAGTAACAATATGCTCTTTTTGCACATAACTGTTTGCCATTTTCATCAAGCTATTTACATGGTATTTTGTGGTTCTGAACTATTGTCTGTTTTTAATCTTCTGGGCAGCTCTGTCTAGAATAATAGATTTGTTTCTAAACATTGGTTGTAATCTTAATGAAAGAGTTTATTAAGCATACCATGTTATTTGTGACCTCAATCTCTCCTGTACTTAATTTCCCTCTTGATCAATTGTCTTAGTTAACTGAGTGTTGACTATAACTTCATAAAAATTTTAGTATTTTCAGAAGGTATTTATTAACATGGCTGTTGTAGCAAATAACAGGAACTTCAACTTCATGTAGACAGAATCTACCATTTATTATCTATTTTTGACAGTAAAAAAACTGATTTTAGTGAAAATTGAAAACTGCATTACAATGAAAATAAAATGCCATTTTGTCATTCTGTTTTACTTCAATTTCATTGGTTTGGCATCGGGTAGCCACAATAACAACTCCCTGTTTTAGGCCTTACCTATCTCCACACACAGTTTTGTTTTCTCCCATCATCTTCCCTCTTTTTTCCTCTTCTCTTTCCCTGTAATTTCTCTCTTCATCCCTTCCTTTCTCAGTTTAACACAGACCTTAATGTCTTTGTTACCTTAGTTGCTGAGGATGTATTATAGTCTTTCTATTCTTAATATTTCAGTAGAAGAAACATTTTTTAAAGTGCTCTGATAATACTGCTTATGCTGTTAGATAAATGGCTAATTATTTTCCAAACATTAGACACAGCAGTTGTAGTTGCACAACCTGGTATTAGCTTTAACTGGTTTTCCCCACTCCTAGTCTTGTTAGCTATCTCCTGTATGATTGAGTCTATCTCCTGTGGTGCTACCAGTTAGAGGTCATTTCTACAAACAAAAGTCACCTTGTGTTAGAGAATAAATATGTTAGCACAGAGTAATTCACATTTATCCTCACATTGTGTACTGAATATAAGATGACAGGAGAGGATGGAGGTTACATAATGTCCACCTGGACAATTGTTTATCAAGGTTGGACCACAGCAAGACTCCTTTACAATTCTAATAGCAACCATTGCTAATCAATCCCTGCATTTTTTGTCCAGACCTTTTAGTCTTCCTCCTTTTAGTCTAGTTCTCCAGGAAGCCATTACCAGTTAGTGGGAGTTGTCATTATTCTATGTGTAGGCTACCACAAAAAACATTCTCTGTATATCACTATGGCAGTGTTCCTGACCATAAGAACCACTTACGGCACAGAAGTCCCCAATCCCTAGGCTGTGGATGGGTACCAGCCCATGGTCTGGCAGGAACTGGGCTGCATAGCAGAAGGTGAGTGGTGGACCAGTGAGCATTCCCACCTGAGTTTTGCCTCCTGTCAGATCAGTGGTGGCATTAGATTCTCATAGGAATGCAAACCCTATTGTGAACTGCACTTGTGAGGGATCTAGGTTGTGTGTTCCTTAGGAGAATCTAATGCCGAATGATCTGAAGAGGAACAGCTTCATTCCAACCCTCATCACTGCCCATGGAAAAATTGTCTTCCATGAAACCAGTCCTTGGAGTCGAAAAGATTGGGGACCATTGACCTAGGATAATCAGGGCCTCACCTAGACTTGCTGCAGGAGAATCTCCAGAGGAAGGGCTTGAACATTTTCTTTGCTTCATTTGTGAATAAAGGTTTTGTTTCTCCTGAATAACATTTTGGAAAACAAAAGTATAAAAAAACATCTTCTACACTCCTTAAACACAATCTCTCCTACCCAGGAGACTTAGTGCAAATAATTTTCGCTTCTCAAATATTAGCCTTCCCAGGCATGGTGGCTTCTGCTGGTAATCCCAGCACTTTGGGAGGTCAAAGCAAGAGGATCACCTGAAAGCAAGGGTTCAAGACTAGCCTGGGTAACATAATAAGACCCCCATTTATACAAATATTAGCCCTTCTCTGTAGGTGTTCTGAGTTTGCCCAGGAAGTTGCATTTAGGGGTCAACGTTATAGGAGGAGAAAAGAGCCAGTGATATAGAGAATGGTCACCATAAATTCATGAAAACTTGGTACCTAGTGACCAGCTTTCAAAATTAAACCCAAGATCCACAGCCTTATCCAATCAGTGTATTTGCCATTGGAATTAAGAACAGATGCAATAGATTTGTCATATGCCAACTGAAAAGGGTGAAAATAAAGACAGCAAAAATACTCCATCTTACTCTCCCCCAAAGTAACTTATTTAAAATTATTTAACATAGGATTTCAATATGAACCCAGCTATAACACAAAGAATTTTTACTAACAAAAATGATTACTGTGAAGACCACTTCTTATAGAGTATAAAAGTACTATATAGTACATGAGTATTTTATTTATGTTGACTTTGGCTATTCCTGATTTGCCAAAGTGCCTGTTGAAGTTTTTTTTTAATTTACTAATGAAATAATCTGGTTTTCTAAATGATTTTATCATATTCCAATAAATGAAAACATAGGGCAGTTTCTTTAAATGCAAGGAATTATTGGTATGCCAATTCCATGTTCCACTGTCTGCATGCTTAATCATCACCTTCCAGCTCCAATAAATTGTACCATAATTGCTGAGGATGTATTATAGTCTTTCTATTCTTGATATCTCAGTAGAAGAAACATTTTTAAAAGTGCTCTAATAATATTGCTTACGTTGTTAGATAAATGGTTAATTATTTTCTAAACCTTAGACACAGCAGTTGCAGTTGCACAACCTGGTATTGGATTTTACTGGTTTTCCCCACTCCTAGTTCTGTTAGCTGTCTCCTGCATGATCGAGTCTGTCTCTTCATGGTGCTATCAGTTGGAGGTCATTTCTACAAACAAAAGCCACCTTGTATTAAAGAAGAATTATGTTGGCACAGATTGATTCATTATCCTCACACTGTGCACTGAGTATAAGATGTTAGAGAACTGGTTAACAAAAATACTGGGGATTAGTGCACAGTTTATTTTTTCTGCTTTTGTAGAATGTTTTCAAGACAACCGATGGTAAAATTATGTTCAAATGCTGTAGGTAGCCCTAATGGAGAACCCTGTGGAAAGACTTGTTTGGAAGAGAGAGACAACCAGTGGTTGGGGGTCACACTTTCCAGACAGCCAGGAGAAAATGGATCCATCGTGGTAGGTATTGGAACTGATCTACCAATCCATCGTGAAACCAGCTACCCTGGGTGCAGCTTTCATGTCATTTGGTCTACTTTTATTTTATTCAGACTTGTGGGCATAGATGGAAAAATGTATTTTACATAAAGAATGAAAATAAGCTCCCCACTGGTGGTTGTTATGGAATACCCCCTGATTTACGAGCAGAATTGAGTAAAAGAATAGCTCCGTGTTATCAAGGTAAGACATGATTTTGATATTAATTAGCTCAAGATAAGTAAGTGAATGCTTTTTAGTGTTTTAAATTTATGTTCAAGTTTAGATATTCAGAGGAGAGGGAGATAGTCTAAGTAATTACATTCTTTTTAACTACCCAGTTTCTTCCTTTTCTTTCCTTACTCAATTGCAATAGCATTCATTTTCATAAATGCACTTTGTGCTATAAAAATTTTACAATTTGAATAACTCTGAAATCTAACTGGGAATTACTCACTTTTGCATTAAATTTACTTTCAATTTGGTATGAGTCTAGTGCCCAGCAAATATAGGATACTTAAAATTGTGAAATTATATCGGAAGTTTGATTAAAAAGAAAAACCTCAGGTTTCCTGTTTTACCTTTAGCTTCCAGGGATCATTGGAAAGAATAAAGTTATCAGTGTAAGCAAATCCTTCCTTCCTACTCACTATCTTTTTTCTAATTCACATGTATTCCTTCAAGCAGAAAGAGATTGGTGTCTTGAATTTGAAACATTTTTCTCATGGTAACTCTATGCTAGGACATAAATAACAGTATAGAGTTATGGAGCTAGGACATAAATAACAGAAGTGAGCAGAGTTGGGGTGAATGTCAACAGAGTATGTCAAGTGATATCTGCAGCAAAACTAAAATCCAACAATGTGTATTTAGAAAGCTAAGAAACATATGAATGCCAATTTCTAATTTCTAACCACCCTCACCCTCATAATCCCCCAACATCCAATGAAAAGTTTGATTAGTTGACAAAACTTTGGCCAAGAATTTGAGTTCAATTCTTGATAATATTTGGATATTTCTTCCCTGGAATGTGAGGTCACAGAGCAGCTTATTTACATATATTGCTATTTTGCCTTTGGATACCCAAAAGATAAAAAGTGATTATTGAATTCTCAGTTGCAGTAAAATTCAGTCTAGTTTTCTGTATGTTTTTTATCTTATTTTTCCTAATAATTTATGATTTATCTTTAAAATATTTCAGAGTAGATTTTTTAGTTTTTCTCAGATCTACCTAGCCACATACAATAAAAATCTCAAGATGTCATAAACCTAACACATCTACAATTGTAAAATACAGGACCAGGTGAGATACATATATTTTTTAAAGGAATGAAAATTCCTGACTGGAACATCAGGAATTTTCTGACTGGAAATCTTAATTATAAATGATTTAGCAATTTGTTTAAGTTCTCTGCTTAGCAAAGCCAAAGGGAATCTGTGGTTCCAATTCTTATTTTCATAGAAGTTTACTTATGTCAGTTTTTTTTTGAAAGAAGCAAAGCTTTGCCCCTTTAGTGAGTTCCAAAAGCATTCATTCATGAGGCTGTGTAATAAGAGACCTTCATGTTCATGCAGATCTTGATTCAGCCTATATTTTCAGTTAGGCAAAATCTAAGAAAGGATACTCTCTTCAGTAAATGGTGTTGGCAATAGCAAAGACAATGGAATCAACCTAAATGTCCATCAGTGGCAGACTGGATAAAGAGAATGTGATGCACACACCACATGGAATACTGCACAGCCATAAAAAAGGACTAGATTGTGTCCTTTCTGCAACTTAGATGGAGCTGGAGGCCAATAACCTAAGCAAACTAACACAGAAAACCAAATACCACATGTTCTCACTGATAAGTGGGATCTAAACATTGAGTACATATGGATACAAAGAAGGGAACAACAGGCCCTGGGGCTACCTGATGGTAGGGGGTGGGAGCGGGGAGAGGATAAAAAAACTACCTATTGGGTACTGTGCTTATTACCTGAATGGGGAAATAATCTGTACACCAAACCCCCGCAACATGTAATTTATCTATGCAACAAACTTGCACATGAACCTTGAACCTAAAAGTTTTTTTTTTTTTTAATGCCATTGGGAGAATTGGCTAGCTTCATGGAAAAGAATGAAAGTTAACCCTTATCTTAGCGAATATACCAAAGTGAACAGGATTAAAGACTTAAACATGAGACCTGAAACCATAAAATGCCTAGTGAAAAACCTAAGGGAAAAGCTACTTGCCATTAGTCTAGGCAATAAGTTTTTGGAAGCTACACCAAAAGCTCAAACAACAAAAGCAAAAATAAGCAAATAGGACTACATTAGAAAGCTCTTGCATAGAAAGGAAATGATCAGCAGAGTGAAGAGACAGTCTCCACAATGGGAGATAGTACTTGCATATGCCTAATAAAGAGTTAAGAAACTCACCAACTCAATAGCAAAAAAAAGAAAGCTGACTGAAAAATAGTCAAGGGATGGTGCAAATGGCTTTCTTTTCAAAGATGGCATCAAAATGGCCAATAGGTAGATGAAAAGCTGCTTAACATCACCAATTATTAAAGAAGTTCAAATTATAAACAGCAATGAAATATCACTTAACACCTAATAGAATTGTCATTATCAAAAAGGCAAGCTATAGCAAGTGTTGGCGAGGATGTGAAGGAAAGGGAACCCTTATAGACTGCTGGGAATGGAAATTAGTACAGCCATTATAGAAAACAATAGAGAAGTTAATTAAAAATAAAAAAAATTTAAAAACTCAAAAAATTAAAAATAAAACTACCATGTGATCCAGCAATCCCTCTTCTGGGTTTATGTATATCCAAAGGAAATGAAATCAGTACCACATAAAGAGATCTGTGCTTTTATGTTCATTGCAGCAGCATTCACAATAGCCAAGTTATGGAAACAACCTTGTGTCCATTGACAGATAAATGGATAAGAAATTGTGTGTGAGGTGTATACATACACACATATATACATAAACATATACAATGAAGAGTTATTCAGCCTTAAAAATCCTGTCTTTTATGACAACATGGATGACCCTGAAGGAAATTATTTGAATTGAAATAAACTAGGCATAGAAAGACAAATGCTGTATGATCTCACTTAATCTATGGAATCTAAAAAAGTCAAATACATAGAGTAGACTGGGGGTAGTGAGAGGGTTAGGTATGGGGAGATGTTGGTGAAAGTGAACAAGGTTGCATTTGTGTAGGATGAATAAGTCTAGAGATCTAATGTACAGCATGAGGACTAGAGTTAATTATTGTATAGTACACTGGAAATTCGCCATGAGAGTAGATTTCACTCTAAATGCACAAAAAAGATGACCGTGAGGACGCATGTATGTTAGTTTAAGTGTAGTAGCCATTTCCCTATGTATATGTCTATCAAACATTGCACACTTTAACTATATATAGTAGACAACATGGACACAAAATCACAAATCCTACTTCTGTCTTACTCATTTGACAAAATTGTTTTGAGTATATGCTGTGTGTGCTTCCTATGAAGAAGAGGCAGACAGAGGGAGATGTTTTTATTGCCATTTTATAGGGATATATTAAATATTAATATGGAAAAGATTTGTTAAATTATATCAAGGTTAAAGTTTTTTAAAGTACAAACTATAAACCTTAAAGGAAGTTTTTGTAAGGATTTATTTTTAAAAAATTGTGGAGATTATATCTTTAAGATAAACTTCTGAGTTGTTTTAATATTTCATTTTAGATTATGTGAAAAAATTTGGAGAACATTTTGCATCATGTCAAGCTGGAATATCTAGTTTCTACACAAAGGTAATAGTTTAAAAAATAGCTGCTATAAATGTTTACATATAGAATCTTCTTCTGATGGTTTAGAAGAGTGATTTTATGTTTTAAAGTAAAAATTGTGCAACATTTGCATCATGTCTCTTAGAGTATTACAACTTAATTTTTGCCACTCAGTATTCCATTATTCAATAAAATATCAACATTTAGATGGCTATACTACATAAGACAAACTAAATCTATACTAAAAAAATATTTCTTTCATCGAGAATTTAATGAAAATAAAAAATAGGTACAGTTAATTGCCTTGTTAACTTAGGTATTAAAAATATCAACCCAAGTATATTGTTTTAAATTTCTAGTTGAGGGGCTATGGAAGCATATTAGTCTATATTTTTCATTGAAATCATGGAAATTGGGAAATTTAAGAACTTAATATCCCATTAAATTAGATAGACAATATTCCCAAGATTTCTTACTCTCCTAACACTCTAGGATATCTGTGAAATGGCACAGTTGTACTCAACCCCAAATCTCAGTTTTCCTTAAAAACCCTCTATGAATTCAGGAATGTTTTCTGACTCCATGAAGATTAGGCCATATTAAGTCTTGGGGTTAACAATGCCTGTAAATGTTAACAGTCATATTAAAATGCTTAAAAAGAAAATGCTTTTTTCCATTTAAATTGACCTTCTTTTTGAAGTTTATAGTTATTTAGGAAATGTAGAAATATGCTAAATAGATTTAATTGCTGAAACTTTTCATACTGTACCAGACAAGGGCATGCTCCTTCTAATCTTCTGTTCCTTCTCCTAAATTCCTATATATCACAAAAAAAGTCTACATTCCACTGGACTTTTTTTTCCCCTAAGCCAATATTATTAGGAAAATTAGCCAAAATTATTAGGAAAATTGAAATAAATTAAGGCCACTTTTTATTCTTTGGCAACACATGATTATCTTAATAATGAGCACTAATGAATCATCCACATATGATTTTCTTTAATAGGAACCACATCGCCTTTCTCCCAAAAGCTAACTCTAGTGTTCGGTACTTCTCCCTTCAACTTTTGAAATCCACTGATAAATGTGTTAAATGACAGTTTCAGAGTTTCTTCTCTGAGATTCTGCTTTTCGATAGAAATCCATCAGCCAACTTATCTGACTTTTTCTTTTTCTTCTTCTTTTTCTTTTCCTGATATGTTTTAACTTCACAAAATGTTCCTACTTCAGAAATCTATTATTATGAAAACATGTTCTCTTCACTATCTATTATATATCTGGAGGAGGTTTAGGGTGGTAAGATTTAACTTTAATAAGTTTGTTTTTTGTTTTTTTTTTTACAGGATTTAATTGTGATGGGAGCCCCAGGATCATCTTATTGGACTGGCTCTCTTTTTGTCTACAATATAACTACAAATAAATACAAGGCTTTTTTAGATAAACAAAATCAAGTAAAATTTGGAAGTTATTTAGGTACTATAAAAGTTGGCAAACTCAAATTATCTCTGTCTTACAAATACTAGTACTATAATTATAAATAAGGAAAATTGTATTTTTCAAAGATCTAAGTGGCCAGTAATTACAGTAATAGGCATTTCAGAAACTATCTCTTAAGGATAGGATTTATGAAACTTTAGTTAGCTTAATATTTTACATTTATACATGTGACTAAAGTCATCAATACATAATTCTTAGTAGAACTCATAGTTTACTCTTTGCAGTTAGAAAACATTAGTAAGTTTATATCTTTATGTAGTCAACTGATTATACAGGTAGCTTCTGTTGAGTGCTTCCCATATCCCAGGAACTTTTTGTGAGAACTTTATGTGAATTAACTCATTTACACATCTGTATAAGTAAGTACAGTTTCTTAAAGGACCCCCTGAAGGCCAGTTGTACTGTCCACCGCATTCTGAATAAGGGGCTCCATGAAGCATATGGGTCTAAAAACAGCTCATTGATCTTCACCTCATCAGTTCTTAAATATTTCCCAGAGTTTAACTATTTTTGTCATCTTCCTCCTCCTCACTATCATCTCATAAGTCAATAGGATACTTTATCACCTGTATTTCAATAGAAATGCAAACTTTTCTGACATTAAAGTCCATTACCAGAAAGTAAGTGCTTTTCCTATAGGTTTTCAGAAAATCCAGGTTTGTTTAAACTGTTTATGTGTCGAATGTGAGCATCTTATACTTAGAAACATAAAACAAGCACTACTTCCATACAAACAGAAGAAATTTCAAGTAGAATTTGCTACAATTCAAGTTTTCTTATTTATGATTGAAGGATACTTTGAAATAATTTAACAAATATAACTTGATATGCCTTTTATCACATAAAATAAAAATATTTTACCTTTTGTCATCAAAAAGTCATCACAAAAAGATTTGGTGGCAAAAAGTCAAACTTTAGCAGGATTTTTATTTAAAGTTTAAAATACTCATTTTCCAGTTGAGACATTACATTTAATATACTCTAAAATATGTCTGTTGTAATCCTAGAAACTGATTATACTGCACAGAGACTAACCAGATGTAAAGATGCTATTTTCAGTTTCTAACACTTGGAAATACGATCCATATGGCTATAGTTTTGTGACACATGTCAAAATTGCATAAAACATAATAAATGACCAATTTTGAGTTACCACTATGCTAAATATTAAAACTGCTTAATGTAGTCATTTTGAATTCAGCATAATTTAATTTTATGAATACATTTATGATCTGTTTTACCCAGATCACCATATGATGTGCTTTACTCAGGACTCTCATACTTTCTTCCTTTTCTTAAAGGATATTCAGTTGGAGCTGGTCATTTTCGGAGTCAGGATACTACTGAAGTAGTTGGAGGAGCTCCTCAACATGAGCAGATTGGTAAAGTAAGAATTACATTTTTATACTTATTTCTTCACAAACATTCAAATACATTGCATGAATAAGATATTGAAGGAGAAACTGCAAATGTTGTAAGGAAAGGAAGATTAGAAATGATAATCAGGTTATTACATTTAGTGGAATTGGCAAAAGATGTTATGGTTTTAGAATAAATTTAAGCAAGAAGCTTTCTGAAAAATTACAAAAGCCAAATGAGACTTTTCCTATAAGAAAATTCTAAGATAGAACTACCTAAAAATGTCCAGGGAGTATATGGTGAACAGTTTCACAGCTGCAAAGAAATTGAGGCAGCTACATGTTTTGTGGTAAGACTTAGAACGAAGAAAAATATTTCTGGTTTTAGTTTTTTCTGGGTTGCTATGTGAACACTGGTCACTCAACTTTTCTGAGGCTTACTTTTGAAAACTTAGGCAGACTTTTCCTGTACTTCCTCTATAGCAGGCGTCCCCAGACTACGGCCCCCTGAGGCCATTTATCCGCCCCTCCCCCGCGTCCCACCTGCCGCACTTCAGGAAGGGGCACCTCTTTCATTGGTGGTCAGTGAGAGGAGCACAGTATGTGGCGGCCCTCCAACGGTCTGAGGGACAGTGAACTGGCCCCCTGTGTAAAAGGTTTGGGGACGCCTGCTCTGTAGGATCAATAAGATAATTCCTGAGAAAATACTTTTGCAAGTAAGGCATATTAATGTAACAGTGGATCCCTAACCCTTTTGTGTCACTCTTAAAAGGATTTTTTTTTTTTAATGTTTGAGCAATTAACTACAAGTTATAAAAATTCATGTTTGGATCAAACAGAAATGAGTGGGTTTTTAAAAAAAGTATGGTATTCATAAAAACTTCTCTAATTCTTTCCCCAATTACAGGCATATATATTCAGCATTGAAGAAAAAGAACTAAGTATCTTACATGAAATGAAAGGTAAAAAGGTAATATGTCTCTACCTTTAGTATCTCTGAGGGCTTTTGCGAGTAGCCCTCCTTTTTTCTCAGTGAGTGGATCTGGTTTGTTTTGAGACAGCTTGGCTCGTACTTTGGAGCTTCTGTCTGTGCTGTGGACCTCAACGCAGATGGCTTCTCAGATCTGCTGGTGGGAGCGCCCATGCAGAGCACCATCAGAGAGGAAGGAAGAGTGTTTGTGTATATCAACTCTGGCTCGGTATGTCCAACTGCCCCAACTGGAAGCCATTTATGGATTTATAATCAAAACTGAAATTGGTCTTATTCCAGAGATCTGAGATTATTTTTAGGTTTCTTTTACTGACAAATGTTAAAATTCTAATACTGTAGTGATGCTCTAAAAATAAAATGGAATATGATGATGATTAGGAAAGTGTTCCATTTTGACTATCCAGAAGTATGAAATAGGTTGTTAGGGAGTTTTCTATTCACAGCTTATATATGTTCCCTCTGGTAGTTGAAATTTCTTTCAATTTTATGTTGATACTAATCTAATTTGAAAGAATAATTTTATACCTCCTTCAAAATGTGGATCTCTTAATAGTTCTAGTTAAGGTCTTTATGTAAATTAAATTATAAAATATTACTAGGATTAGAAGATGAATAAATAGTTTTCAATTTCTTGATTTGAAAACAATTACAAACAAGTTATTAAAATGTTAATTTTCATAATTCATAAGAGATTACTTTATAAGAGTATAAAATTGTCACCGTTTATTCCAAAGTGAATATATTAATTGTATAAATAGATAAGTACTGAACTATGATTCAATTTTAAATTATTAGTGATAATTTGTGGTAGAAACTGATCACTTGATAATTCAGCTTAAAGACATCTGCTGGCCTTATCTTGCCAGTGTTGCTACTTGACCTTAAAACAAAAAATTGATAGGGTCTTATTGAGATCTTCTTGGCCTGTTCCTGTAATTTGAAAACAAGTGTGGGCTTTTGAGAAAACTGGTTCATTTCTGTGGCACAGCATTTTTCATTCAGGATTCTGAAAATTTAACTCTGTTTCAAGTGTTTGTATCTATGATTAGTAAATGGTTTCAGAGCATTTAGCAAGTTCTTATATTAAGCATCGGACTAAACATTACAATTTAAGAATGAAAACATCGAGTCTTATAAATGGATGATTATAGAACAGGGAAGTTATTTATGCTGTGATATTTCCTAGTCTGTATTTAACCTACATTTAATAATAAAAGCAAATTATCTACACAGTGATCATTAGAAGCTCATTAATAGTGATATCAGATAATTTTCTTCCATAGATTTCACATTTCTACTTCCAAAACTAGTGGTCTTTGTACTTGCTACATCTTCATGCTGCAAATTCATCTTATATTACTCTTTACAACCAAACATCCACATGTATACCTAAAGTAAAGCAATGTAGAATCATTTCCCCCCATTGAAATCTTAATATCATTAAGAAAAAACAGATAAACCCTACTACTCAGTTTTCTACCCTCTTGTTCTTCCCTCATGCCTACCCCAAGGTGCTACTCTTATAAAACACTGGGATTAATTTAATAATTGATTTCAGCTTTTAAATCCTCCGATATAGATTAGTCTTCCTTTGTTCCCTCTCATTCCTGTCTAACTTCTCATTTCTCAACTCTCTGAAATGGCACTAACCACTAAGTAGCATTTATTTACATTGATTCGATTTGGTATTGTCTATTATTCTACTGTAGTATAGATGCCACCTGGAGAGAAATTGTCTGCCTTGTTTACCACAGTTTCCTCAGGGCTTGGAAGAGTCCTGGACAAGTAGGTGAAATTTTTTCTTGAATGAACTCAAGAAAGAATGGTACTTGAGTGACTCTGGCTTCTACCTACTTACAGTAAAATAGGTCTCTGGGATTCCCAGTGAACTCTTAGTCGCCACTCTCAGTGACTAGGGAATACTTGAAGAAGAGGGATCACCACTTCCTATTGAAACTCTCCTTCCAGAACTTCAGAGCCATTGGGTTTTCTTAAGCCTGTATCTTGTCTTTTCTCCCTGGAGCCTCTTCATCCTTCTGCTCTTTAATTTAGACATTTGCTCAGTAGCCAAGCTGCTTTATCCCTGACTCCTTTGTTACAATCATTCGTTGCTACGGTGTCAGTGATTATATTTATAGAGATGATTCCCAGTTGTCGTATTTCATTTAAAATAAGTGACATTTAGTGAGTTTCTGAAATGTAACCAGGACTTATAAAAAGAGCTAATGATTATAGTGCTGACCCCAGGACTTCAGATCTAGTGAAGGCACCAATGGGAGGAAGCAATTGACTACAGCATGGTGTATGGCACATTATAAGTACATACAAAGTAGAAGAAGTGATTTCCTGTGTGTCAAGTAGGTTTCACAGAGGAAGTAGTATTTGCGAAAGACAAAAATTGAATTTTTCAATTGGAAAATTCACAAGTAAAAACACTTGACAAGGAAAGAAAATGTGTGTGCCTGGGGAATGCCAAATAGATTTGAAAGGACATGGCCTTTTTTTTTTTTTTTTTTTTTTTTTTTTTTTTTTTTTTTTTTTAATACAAAGGACTGACATGATCAAAGTTTGCAAAGAGAACTGGTAGCTGTTATTGTGACAGCTAATTATTACATTATTGAATGTCTTATTGTAGTAACTCATCTTCCTCCCTCCTAGTTATCAGTTGATTGATCTATGCTCCCTTGCTGCCGGTTCCAAAGGCCTGCTTCAATTATGTCACTCCTCAGCTCAGAAACCTTCAGTGTTTGCTGTTGTTCCCTAAATTAAGAGTAAATTTTTCTCAGCAATCAAGATGCTACACTGTAAGACTGCAATCTGACATTTTTTTCTCATACATTATACATACCATTCATTAGAGCCAAATTCTTTGGAATTTGTTTTGCTGCTAGTTCTCTGTTTATCAAAATTACACTTATCCTTCAATAGCCACCTGGCATGCCATTTCCTTTATGAAATCTCTTCTGTTATAATTAGATATTCTTTTTTTTCTTCTTGATATTGTAAAGCAGTTTCTACTTCTTAGTCTTTTGTATGCTTGTGCTAAGCCTGCCCTGTAACTCTGGGCTTCTCGAGGAAAGGGAGTATTTATACACACACTGCCTTGCCCCCTTTCACCTTTTCACTCTTTACACAGTGTGTTGTCTTTAGTAGAAGCTCAATAAATATTTGCTAAATTGAATTATCAAAATGATTTATTGGATTTTCAAAGCTAGAGATCAGGAGTTTGACAATGTTTTATGTCCTCTGAGCTCTAATCATACTATTATGTGTTGACAGACTCAATAAATATTTATTGAATTGAACTGAGATGTGTGTACTAAAGCTCAGTCTGTGGTTTGTCCAACTTGTTTGACGCATTAGAAAAAATCCATATCCAATTACAACAGTAAATCATGTGTAAAGTTGTTGGAGAGTGTTATACTGACACCTTTTCTCTCCCTTTCTATCTAGGGAGCAGTAATGAATGCAATGGAAACAAACCTTGTTGGAAGTGACAAATACGCTGCAAGATTTGGAGAATCTATAGCAAATCTTGGCGACATTGACAATGATGGCTTTGAAGGTAATTAAAATTATCAATTTGGTGCTTGATTTCTGCTTTCAAAATGGTTTACAGAAAAAAATATGATTGAAGTTTTGTGTTGTTTGCCTTCCTATAGAAAACTGAGCCAGAATAGCATGCTAACTTTTTTCTTTTCTTTAGTGTTACTTATGACTTCTCCTCAATTGTCACCCATTGGTCTTTACCACTGTTAATAAGGTGATATTCAAAATACCTTATTTCAGTGATTCTAAGGTACCATTGATTAGAAACTGCATTGTTCCTTATGTGTCCCTAAAAAATGCTGCCTATTAAGCTGTAACAGCCACCATTTTTCTATGTTAAGAAAGATCCTGATTTCAGAAATAATAAAATATGGGTAGTAAATGTATATCATAGACTCATTGGACCACTGTATTTAGCTATCAGTACAATAAAGACACGACCAAACCCAACAGAGCCTAGCTGCTGAGCTGGAACAGGGTTATGGAAGCCCCTTCTTCTACCAGGCATTCCCCATAGCTGTGTTGTGGGAGAATCTGGGGAATTCCAGAAGAGATTCTGAGAGGCCACTGGGAAGCCTGGGGACAGTGGCTGTTTACCCACTGATATTGACGTCTTTCACTGATTGACTAGATGATAGTATGGTGACTGTGCATATCGCCATGGATGCCAGTCCTGTTGTTGAAATCTCTGCATCTACCAGCATTTCTTGTTAACCTTTGCTTTTATCAGTCTACTTCTAAGTGGTAAGTAACTGAGTCTGTTAAAACTGTGAATGATGATTCATAAAATGATGAATAGGTGTAAGAGGAGAGTGTGCAATTTCCTGGAGCTCAGCACATAAGTATTTGATACTTATTTTCAGGTTCATATTGTCTTCTTGATAAGGCCATTGACAATTAGTGTATGATAATATTAGGCTAAAGCTTTCTCAGATGCTAAAAATAAGTGACAGGGTACTACACATTCTCACTTCCTTAATGTCTTCTGGTACCTAGATGCTGCAATCTACTTTAAATATATAAAATGAATTATTTTACAGAAAAAGTCAGTTATTGTATATATGCTTCCTGTGAACCTTAAACGTAAAATAGTGTAATGTGATATACAAATATTACCATTCTGGATTTTTTGTTTACTGTTTTAAAACTGAAAGGAAAGAAAAAAAAAACATGTATATACTTTCGGTTATTATGATTACACATAACACAAGACATTTTTTAAAAACGTGTATGGAGGGGAGCCTCTCTGTACCCCACCCATCACTGGCTTCCCTGTACTTCTTTCCCCACTGTGACCCCAGGTTGGAAAGTGACTCATTTTCACAAATACCTTGTCCCTGAAAGGGGTGAAGGATGGTGGTGTAGCTTTTTCATTTAATTGGAACTGTAAGAGGGATCGTGTCCTATTTCATGTCCTTCCTCGAAAGGAATCAGGACACCTGGTTTGCACTTCTGTAGCGGCCATCACTTCACACCGTGCACTACACCGCTGCCATCACTGATCACACTGAGTTCACATCTCTTGAGAGTTTTTATAAATTCAGATCAGCACTGCTCCTCTGCAGCCACTCAGTGTCATGAAAAGCATTCACTGATAACTGATTTCTCCATTCAGAAGTGTGTAGTTTTAATGAACAGTAATGAGAAACTGTTATTTTATTATATTTGTATTAAAAAACTTATTTAAAACAAAAGACAATTTTATTATGCTTTATGTTGCATCTCATAAGTAATCAGCAACTCTGATATTTATTGAACATTTATTTGGGGTCAGATGTACCATACCAGGTACAGAATATGTGCCATAATAAATGAGAAAATGGTGGCACCCTTTTTTATAGTTCTGCAATCAAGTGGAAAATAACATTAATGCTTGAAAACATAAGCCTTATTCAGTGGCAAATTTAAGGATTCTACCTAATAAAAACCTAGAGATAAAACCATGTTTATGCATTTTGATATGTTATGTGTGTTGTATGAGACAATCCCAATTCTTTTTTTAAAAAATGAAAAATCACTGTTTAGTAAAATACTTGGTTTATGATTTCTGTCTTGTTTTAATTGGCACATTTAAGGAAGACCATTCACTATTTTTACTCTTTGGAATGTGAAAATATATGTATGCACACATGAGAAATTATTTTTGTGGCATTAAAATGTCAATGACAAATTTGAATTATTGTTTTAGTCAGAGCTGTAAAACTATTTTGAGAAATAGGTAAATTCCTTATCAAAATGTGGAAGACAGTGTGGCGATTCCTCCAGGATCTAGAAATTGAAATTCTATTTGACCCAGCAACCCCATTACTGGGTATATACCTGAAGGATTATAAATCATTCTATTATAAAGACACATGCACACATATGTTCATTTTGGCACTGTTTACAATAGCAAAGACCTGGAACTAACCTAGATGCCCATCAGTGATAGACTGGACAAAAAAAAATGTGGCACATATACACCATGGAATACTATGCAGCCATAAAAAAGGATGAGTTCATATCCTTTGTAGGTACTTGGATGAATCTGGAAACCATCATTCTCAGCAAACTGATACAAGAACAGATAATCCAATACCGCATGTTCTCACTCATAGGCAGGTGTTGAACAATGAGAACACATGGACATAGGGAGGCAAGCATCACACATGGGGGGCTGTTGGGAGGCGTCTAGGAGAAGGACAGTGAGGGGTGGGGAGGATGAGGAAGGATAACATGGGGAGAAATGCCAGATATAGGTGACAGGGGAGTGGAGGCAGCAAACCACAGTGCCATGTTTGTACCTATGCAACAATTCCGGATGATTGGCACATGTACTCCAGAACCTAAAGTACAACTTTAAAAAATTACTCTAGTACCTGGGAAAAGCCTGAGTAATTTTCCAGTGGTGTGAATGACAGACAGACAGACAGTGTTCTGTTCATGAAACAGAGGAGTTTGGAGGGGACTTTCAGGGGACAGTGCAGTCTTTTAGTTCCTTTATAAAACCCTGGGCTTCTTGTTTCACCTGAGAGCCCTCAGCACTCCACTCCTAAAGGAAATGCCTTTGTATCTGGAAGGTTATTATTCAAATGATTTTAAAATATATTCCTGTGTATTTTTGTGCTGTTTATATATAATGTCATTTATAATTTACCGCATATTTACTTTTAGTGGCTACATTAACATTTCAGTGAATGCTTATAATGCCATAGATCTTCTTCTACTTGGTCCGGTTTATATTTTATCTTCGGTTTTGTCCATGAATAGGCATTTTCTGTATTTTAGATATCAGCATGACCATTGCTGATGTGGAAGCAGGGTCAGGGCTGTCCTAGTTTTTCACTGAGGTCTTTAATTCCTTTCCACCATGTCTGCCTGGATGAAACAGCAGGAATTTACAAGTTGTTGGGTTTTTTTTAATGTATTTATTACTTTGCCACATCTGTCATTTTATTTTTCTTGGGTGGATGGGTAAAGATACTTTGTGTTCATGGCAAGAAGTATAGGATTATGTAGAAAAAGAATGAAAACACTACCTATTTTTTTTATCTTCCATCTCTAGTATTGGATGCAAATCACACTTAATGTCTTTTTATTATGCAAATTTTTGTGATACTTTGCATAGTAACCTTAAGTTATCTTGGCATTTGTCACATCATTTTTCAATTTTTTCAAATGGAAAAAAATCAGACTCTATTTCCAGTGTCATTAAGAAAGCAACGCAAGGCATTTTTGAAGAAGATGACCAATTGATTTGGCAAAAGTTCCATGTAAAACTCATCAAAACATTGGTCAGACAGATTAATATAACTGACATGACTGACAGAAAATAGCATTTTTGATTTGATATGTAAAATAAACTTGACAAGACCACTGTCGATTGATTCACATTGAGCCTTATTGTCTAACTTTTAGACTGTATGTTTGAATATTTTTAGAGCAGAACCATAATAGGTTCTACAATTGTAAATTACAAGCTGTACTATTATGTGCACCTGAATAGTTACATATTATCAAATCATTAAGTGAGTACTTTTTAAAATTTGTGTTAATTTATAGGGTACAAGTGTAATTTTGTTACATACATCAATTACATAGTGATCAAGTCAGAGCTTGCAGGTGCCTATAACCCAAATAACATATGTTTTATCCATTAGGTAATTTCTCATCAACCACCCTCCACAACACTTCCGCTTTCTGAATCTCCATTGCCTACCATTCTACTTTCTATGCCTACGTGAACACACTTTTAAAGCATTGACTTAGGAGTAAGAGCACAGGATATCTTACTCTCTGTGCCTGGCTTGTTTCACATAAGCTAATGACCCCCTAATTCCATCCATATTGCTGTAGAATACATCATTTTTTTTTTTAATAACTGAATGGTATTCTGTGTGTGTGTGTGACAGAGAGAGAGACAGAGACAGAACTTCATTGACACAGAACAGGAATAGGTATTAGGAAGGGAAATTTGGGGGCATGACTTCTGTTGTTAATGAGTTTATAGAGCATGGTGATAGCCCAGGCTCTAGGGCCAGGCTGCAGGATTTAAATCCCAGCTGCACAACACCCTGGCTCTGTCACCCTGAGCAGGTTATACTCTGTGTCTCAGTTTCATCATCCATAAAGTTGGAGTCAAAGAGTATTTATTTAATATGGTGGTTGTGAGAGTTACTTGGGTAAATGTGCACAAAACCCATATCACAGTGCCTATATTGTAAACATGTAAGTATTGGCTGACATTAATGCTAATAATTATGATTTATACTAACGGAATGAAATAAAATGTTCAGATGAAAAGTTAAAGCAGTCGTTAAATATCTGTGTTCTGTATATTGTGTCCCAAATCAAGTTGTGTAAGCATGGAAAACATCATTATATATACTTCAAAATGTATTTTTCTTATTTGTATAATGATAGATAGAACTGTATTATATAACAGATCCAAGTGTAATCCAGGAAGAATTTGGACCTGTATATGAGATAGCCAAAGAGTGACTATACCCAAGTGTCCTCTGTATGGAAAAAAATTTATCTGGGCTTTTAAAATATTTTGGCTGAAAAGGCTCATCTGTATTTTTTTCAAAATATTTGCCTTAATTTAGATCACTCTTGCTAAGGAGAGATACTATAAAAATTTCTGTACATCAACTACTTCATGACGCAGGCTTGCTATTTTATTCATGTGTTATCATCAAGAATCAATATATAGCAAATTCTAGAGATTTAACCACAGTGGTGGAATTATAAACTCAGCCCAGATTAAAGAAATTGCTGTCTTCTCTTCAGTGGCTATACTTTTCCCCACTCCTTCTTCTCACATCCCTCTTCTCCTCCTCCTCTCTTTCTCTTCTCCCCATTCCTGCTACTCCGTTCCTGTATGTATTTATCCTGCACAAATCTGACTCCAGTTATTCCAAACCAATTGCCATTCTTCACGTGTGCCATGCTGCCTGTTGCTTCCCTGTCCTTGCACAGGCTTTTCCCTGTCTCTAAGTTGCATTTCCCCTTTTCTTCATCCTGGCTATGCCCTATGGATACTTTAATCTTATTTCGGACATCATCTTCTATGAGAAGCCTTCCCTAATTTCCATCACCTCCTCCTCACATCCCGTGTTACTATTCTATTCTTGCTTGCCATTCCTCCCTACTAGACAATGAGTTTCTTTTTATGGTACTGCCCTGTTTTGCCAGCTTCTGAAAAATGTCTGGAATATAGTAGGTGCTCACTAGCTGTCCAATTAATGAATAAATGAATGGGCATATTTGTATATGAATGTTTGAAAAACTTTGTACAAGTCAAAAAAGGCTAGCCTTAGTATGTATAAACAAAGTAAATATAGATGTCTATCGTTTATTTTTAACTGAAAATAGAAAAGCTTTGCATTTCTACTATTTTACAGTGTTTACCATAGAGTTATACATCAAAGATATTTTTACTCATTGAAATAGTAGTCAAAAATTACCACTATAGTTGACAAAAAGGTTTTAGATTTGACAGTAATAAGCAATATCATGAAGATGAACTAGATACATTAGGTTTCTATTAAAGTAATAAATTGCATATAAATATGTGAGTAAATAGACAACACTTGATAAAATGAAATGCTCTTGCAGCTGTAGAATGTTATTTTTCTCCTTTGTGCTATATATTTATAGCACTTAAGCAACCACGTCATTTACTCAGGTTTTCTTATATCAGTTGATCAGATCTTTTTTCCCTTGGTGTCATAGTCTGACATAATTATCAATAATACAGAAAGGTGATACAGTTACTATTTTACAGAACAAATCCATTTTCTGAAATCGTGTGTGCGTGTGTGTGTGTGTGCGCGCAGATATCCCTAACAGTTACGTTAATCACTCATTGGAATAGGAGTTAATTTAAAAGTCATTTTGCAAATAAGGTACATCTAGACTCTCAAAATAAAAATTCGTATGATCATTTTCCTAGATTGTGAGAATTTATTACATGCGAGGCACTTCTCTAAGCACTTTACATAACTTATATCCTTTTATGCCGAGAGTGGCTTTTATTATGATCCCATTATGTAGGTGAGGGAATTGAAACACAGATTAAGAAATGGGCCCAGCCTAGCGCAACAGTGCCCAGTGGTAGAGCTCAGGTCAGCCCCCAGTGGTCTGGCTGTAGAGCCTGTGCCCTAATTATTTTATGAGACTGTCTCTCAGATGCATCCACTGTGCTTTCTTCCATATACAAACCATTGTGTGCAATCCTGTACATGATGATGATGATTGTATTTTAATTGTTTTCTGAGTGTTATTTTTTGTAAGAGTTTTCTTATATGATACGAATTAAGGATCATAAGGTTAGTTTTCAAAGTTGCATTCTTTGTATCAAAATTTATCATTCCACTGTTTCCATTCTCGGATAGATGTTGCTATCGGAGCTCCACAAGAAGATGACTTGAGAGGTGCTATTTATATTTACAATGGCCGTGCAGATGGGATCTCATTAACCTTCTCTCAGGTAAGATACTATTCTATTTCCAAAAGAAGCATTGGTGATGAGGAGCATCCTTTAAAATGCCAAGGGTTTATGTGGACTTATTTTTCTTCATTTTTCTCTTTCAAATACTTAACACTTTTTTTTTTTTTACCATTTACTCATAATAAATAATCTTCTTTTAAGGAATTAATAATTCTTCAAATTCCCTTTTTCCATAAGTAAGAGTTGTAGTTCATTTCCACCCTAGCTTGTCTATAGCCCATTGAAGATTTCTCTTTGTATTTTATTAAATTGTATTCTGAGGTAATCTCTATGTGATTCTAAAACATGCTCATTTGGATTAAATGTGTCTTGGCCTTGTGGCTAGAGCCCCATATTTCATGAAGATTGCATAGAGAGATCGATCATACATAAGATACTCTGGGTTTCTTTCACTGTTGAGTAGTAAGATGATAGCACTTTAATAAAGTCTCATGATCTCACTCTTACTTCACTTCTATATGTTGAAAACTCAGGGCATTTCAGTGTATAGAAAAAAATGACATTCATATGTAGAGAAAAGTTTTTCCTGTGATAGTTACATGGAAATATTAGCTGGTACAGTTATTTTTAATTAGGCAAAAATGAGCAAATCATTCTCTGTAGTTGACATGAAAAAATGTATTTGTCTCATAAAAATACTAATTTTCTTTGTATGGATATCAGCTTAATATTTATAAATCTATATATGAACACGCAATTAGATATATGGAATGGAAAGTACATATCTGGCTAGGGTTGTTCTTGTTAAAAAGTCAGCTTTTATGAAAAGCCTGAATCATAGTCTCCATTAAGTGATTATAGACATCTTGTTTTCCACATTACTTATTTAGTTATTCATGTTGGGCAAGTAAGTAAATACAGAGCCTGAAAAGACTTAAGGAGGTGAGGCATGGTTGTGTGCACCTGTAATCTCAACTACTTAGGAGGCTGAGCTGGGAAGACTGAACCCAGGAGTTCAAGCCCAGCCAGGGTGACATAGTGAGACCCCCATCTCTAAAAAGAGAGGGAGTCAGGCTATTTTAGCAAATCTGTACAACATAATTTTCCCTTTGCTCATAAAGTAAAGTAAATTTTTTTAGCCACAAAACAGATGTCACCTGTTCATTTCCAGCTGGAAAATTTTGTCACCCTTAGAAGTATTTGATTTAACTAAATTGCAATTTTGTTAGTAAGTGTGCCAAGACCTGCCTGGGAAAGGTCGTTATTTAACTGAATCATTGTTTCTCTGGTGTACTAGTATTCAAAAACTACTTCCACTCAACTTTACTATTTTTCAGAGAATTGAAGGACTTCACATCAGCAAATCATTAAGTATGTTTGGACAGTCTATATCAGGACAAATTGATGCAGATAATAATGGATATGTAGGTGAGTATAAAGTTTATCATAGTTTATAAATCAAAATAAGCTCTATTATAGATACTGCTTTATAGTAAAGTACATAAAACTAGTATGAAAGACTTTGTCTTGCTGATAATTTTTTCCATCATTTTTAAAGTTCTCTTGAATTCAAGGATGGGCCAGAAATGATCAAGTAATTCCTCACCTTAACAGTGTTAGCTGCTTAATGTTATAGTCTGTGTTTCTGAAAAAATGGAAACACTTATGAAAATCAAACATATGATGAGGAAAAAAAAGAATTTTTTTTTAATTAGAAAGGAAAAGGAAATTTGAGTGAATGTTTCTAGTCCGAAATTGAATTTTGTTTCAGTAAACCTCTCTTTATCATAAAGTTTATGTTATATCATAATGGAGTGAATGTTGTACATGAATAGATTCAGAGAAAAGTGGAATGAATATTAAGATATTAGCATATATCCTCTAATCAATTTTCTGTAAATACTGTTTTTATGTAGTCAAAGGTGATATGTAGTTAAGTATTTACGGCTGAAAAGTAATTATCTTTGACTAATGATGATCATTAATCTGTGTTGTTTTTTATCCTACAGATGTAGCAGTTGGTTCTTTTCGTTCTGATTCTGCTGTATTGCTAAGGTAAGACTGATACATTTTACTGTTTAATGACAATTTGGTTTAACTGTAAATGATAGAAGGCATTGTTTAAAATCAGCAGTGATAATGACCTCATGATGTTCTATTGGTGTTCGGAAGTTTAATTATTGAACTTGAGGGTATTTTTTTCACCTTACACAGATATAATTAAATCATCAAAGTCAATGTTTTTAGACATTTAAATAAAATTTCTTTACCTCTGTTAACAGAAATTAGGGTAATTAGTATGTACACACGTAATAAGGAAGACTCATGAAATTACTTGATGAATGTAAACTCACAAAACAAATATATTTATCTTCTTAAGGAAAAATAATTCTACAATTAACATTGTTAATTTTATTTCCTTCTTAGGACAAGACCTGTAGTAATTGTTGAAGCTTCTTTAAGCCACCCTGAGTCAGTAAATAGAACAAAATTTGACTGTGTTGAAAATGGATGGCCTTCTGTGTGCATGGATCTAACACTTTGTTTCTCATATAAGGGCAAAGAAGTTCCAGGTTACATTGGTGAGCATGCCCAACAGAATTAATGCTTGATGGTGTGCAGTTCACTCATTAATCCCACATTCCTGTTTGTAGCCCTCACTGGTTTTCACCAATGGAGCTCTTCTTGAGAGCAGGGGAGAGAAACCACCTGATGCATACTTTTCCTCTTCATCTGCCAGATTCTTGCTTTGTTCTAACCAATGAGTTGGGCACATTAGAAGGCTGTAGTTGTTTAGAGATTATGGCAAGAAGCAAGGGACATAGTATCACTTGCCATATTAGTTTAAGGAAAATCAACTGAGCTTAACCTGTAAAACTGCTTTCTTCATATTTTATCCTATTTCAATAATTAAAGAAAGCCAGGCATGGTAGCTCATGCCTATAATCCCAGCACTAAATGAGGCTGAGGCTGGATCCCAGGAGGTCCAGGCTACAGTGAGCTGTGATCACACCACTGCATTCCAGGCTGGGCAATGGAGTGAGATCCTGTCTCAAAAAATTATAATCACAAAAATAAATATTAAAAAACAAAATAGACCTGATTCTAATTTCTATAAATAATACACCTGTTAATAATTTACTGACTACAAGTTCCTGAGAACCATACCCATTTCCCTATGTACAGGCAACTCTCACTTATCTGCTGTGGAGAAAGTATCATTGATACAGCTCATCCAAAATTGTGGTGGGGAATCCCAAATCATGTATAAGTGGTTTTATACATATTACATTTTTGCTAGCAGGTTAATGTTCCTAATTATGTTTATTTAGGCTAATATAAGAATAGTGAAACTAGCCTGTGGTAGAAGAAGAGCATACCTGGGATTAACATTTGGAGATTAATAATTCATAAAGTTTATGATCCCCTATTAGGACCTGCCAAGAATTTATTGTATTCATGACCCTGCAGGCTGCTGTCATGTAAACATCATGAAAGGCCCACATACCTATTAAATCATACCATGGATATGTAATAGAGATCTTAGTATGTATTAGCTTGTAATGAAAGGTACACAGTGAGCCTGGTGTCTCTACTTTAGATGAGACTCACTTTTAATAGTGCCCTGGAAAAGTCATGGCCAGAGCTACAGTAATAAGAGCGTAGGCAAGCCTTCATCTAGTTATTGATTGGAAAATGGCAGTTTGAGAGCATGACATCAGAGTAAATTACACATTAACACAGACAAGCTGATGGATAATCTGAAAGACACACATTGAGTAGATGGGGCTCTTTCCCTTTATGTGAAACCAGTATTTCCTCTACTAACAATTCCATTGTGACCAGATATTTTTAAAAATAGTTGAAGACAAACATATAAAACCCATAAATAATCATCACATTATTAGAGAAACATACCTTATAATTATCATAAAATGACCCCTGGGAGAAACAATTCACATTAATTACCTAAATGCTTAATAAATCCAGGACATTTTGACTCTGAGAGTGGATTATTTTTCACCTCTTTTTTATTTACTCTTTTTCTGAACTCAGGGCAGTGAACTTGTAGACAGCTATTTTAGTTGCAGTGCTTTGTCTATGAGGTATTGAATCTCAGTTAAAATATTGAAATCTAGTTGGCTTGGACTTCATTATTTTCCAAATAGAAAAATGATCGAAGGATTTATTTGAAGTGTATAAAGAGAAATATAGATTTTATGTTTATGTTTCCTTAAAGTAAGTGGGTAAAATTCTTCTAGAAGTATAAGTCACTCCTAAAATAAAAATGAACATGTCAAGAATTATATAAATTCTTTAAACTATTATGAATTACTGCCTCTCTATAATGAGTCACACCTCAGCAGACTATTAGATTCAGCTTGCATTGCAAAGAACCCATTTAGATTCATGAAATTGTTCTCATTTTCTTGGTAAGATCTGGCTTGGAATTTTTTGTTTGCTTTTTTTTTTTAATTTTTTTAATATTTATTTATTTTTTTTTATTGCATTTTAGGTTTTGGGGTACATGTGATGAACATGCAAGATTGTTGCATAGGTACACACATGGCAGTGTGCTTTGCTGCCTTCCGTCCCCTCACCTGTATCTGTCATTTCTCCCCATGCTATCTCTTCCCACCTCCCCACCCCACCACCCCTCCCCCATTTCCCCCCAACGGACCCCAGTGTGTAGTGCTCCCCTCCCTGTGTCCATGTGTTCTCATTGTTCAACACCCACCTATGAGCAAGAATATACGGTGTTTGATTTTCTGCTCTTGTGTCAGTTTGCTGAGAATGATGGTTTCCAGGTTCATCCATGTCCCTACAAAGGACGTGAACTCATCCTTTTTGATGGCTGCAGTAATATTCCATGGTGTATATGTACCACATTTTCCCTATCCAGTCTATCATCGTTGGGCATTTGGGTTGGTTCCAGGTCTTTGCTATTGTAAACAGTGCTGCAATGAACATTCGTGTGCACTGTGTCCTTGTAGTAGAATGATTTATAATCCTTTGGATATATAGCCAGTAATGGGATTGCTGGGTCAAATGGGATTTCTATTTTTAGGTCCTTGAGGAATCGCCACACTGTCTTCCACAATGATTGAATTAATTTACATTCCCACCAACAGTGTAAAAGTGTTCCTATTTCTCCACATCCTCTCCAGCATCTGTTGTTTCCCGATTTTTTAATGATCGCCATTCTAACTGGTGTGAGATGGTATCTCAATGTGGTTTTGATTTGCATTTCTCTGATGACCAGTGATGATGAGCATTTTTTCATATGTTTGTTGGCCTCCTGTATGTCTTCTTTTGTAAAGTATCTGTTCATATCCTTCGCCCATTTTTGAATGGGCTTGTTTGTTTTTTTCTTGTAGATCTGCTTTAGTTCTTTGTAAATTCTGGATATCAGCCCCTTGTCAGATGGGTAGGCTGCAAAAATTTTTTCCCATTCTGTTGGTTGCTAATTCACTCTACTGACTGTTTCTTTTGCCGTGCAGAAGCTGTGGAGTTTGATTAGGTCCCATTTGTCTATATTGGCTTTTGTTGCCATTGCTTTTGGCGTTTCGGTCATGAAGTCCTTGCCTACACCTATGTCCTGAATGGTTTTGCCCTAGATTTTCTTCTAAGGTTTTTATGGTATTAGGTCTGATGTTTAAGTCTTTAATCCATCTGGAGTTAATTTTGGTGTAAGGTGTCAGGAAGGGGTCCTTGTTTCTGCTTTCTGCACATGGCTAGCCAGTTTTCCCAACACCATTTATTAAACAGGGAGTCCTTTCCCCATTGCTTGTTTTTGTCAGGTTTGTCGAAGATCAGATGGTTGTGGGTATGTTGTATTTCCTCTGAGGCCTCTGTTCTGTTCCATTGGTCTATATCTCTGTTTTGGTACCAGTACCATGCTGTTTTGATTACTGTAGCCTTGTAGTATAGTTTGAAGTCCGGTAGTGTGATGCCTCCTGCTTTGTTCTTTTTGCTTAGAATTGACTTGGCTATGCAGGCTCTCTTTTGGTTCCATATGAAGTTTAAGGTGTTTTTTTTCCAGTTCTGTGAAGAAGGTCATTGGTAGCTTGATGGGAATAGCATTGAATCTGTAAATTACTTTGGGCAGTATGGCCATTTTCACGATGTTGATTCTTCCTAACCATGAACATGGAATGTTTCTCCATCTGTTTGTATCCTCTCTTATTTCGTTGAGCAATGGCTTGTAGTTCTCCTTGAAGAGGTCCTTTACGTTCCTTGTTAGTTGTATTCCTAGGTACTTTATTCTCTTTGTAGCAATTGTGAATGGCAGTTCGTTCTTGATTTGGCTCTCTTGAAGTCTATTACTGGTGTATAGGAATGCTTGTGATTTTTGCACATTGATTTTGTATCCTGAGACTTTGCTGAAGTTGTTTATCAGTTTCAGGAGATTTTGGGCTGAGATGATGGGGTCTTCCAGATATACAATCATGTCATCTGCAAATAGAGACAATTTGATTTCCTCCTTTCCAATTTGGATACCCTTTATTTCTTTTTCTTGCCTGATTGCTCTGGCTAGAACTTCCAGTACTATATTGAATAGGAGTGGTGAGAGAGGGCATCCTTGTCTAGTGCCAGATTTCAAAGGGAATGCTTCCAGTTTTTGCCCATTCAGTATGATATTGGCTGTTGGTTTGTCGTAAATAGCTTTTATTGTTTTGAGATACGTTCCGTCAATACCTAGTTTATTGAGGGTTTTTAGCATAAAGGGTTGTTGAATTTTATCAAAAGCCTTCTCTGCATCAATCGAGATAATCATGTGGTTTTTGTCTTTTGTTCTGTTTATGTGGTGAATTACGTTTATGGACTTGCATATGTTGAACCAGCCTTGCATCCCCGGGATGAATCCTACTTGACCATGGTGGATGAGCTTTTTGATATGCTGTTGCAATCGGTTTGCCATTATTTTATTGAAGATTTTTGCATCTATGTTCATCATGGATATTGGCCTGAAATTTTCTTTTCTTGTTGAGCCTCTGCTGGGTTTTGATATCAGGATGATGTTTGTCTCATAAAATGATTTGGGAAGGATTCCCTCTTTTTGGATTGTCTGGAATAGTTTCAGAAGGAATGGTATCAGCTCCTCTTTGTATGTCTGGTAGAATTCAGCTGTGAACTCATTTGGACCTGGGCTTTTTTTGGGTGGTAGGCTCTTTATTGCTGCCTCGACTTCAGACCATGTTATTGGTCTATTCAGGGTTTTGGCTTCTTCCAGGTTTAGGCTTGGGAGGTTGCAGGTGTCCAGGAATTTATCCATTTCTTCCAGGTTTACTAGTTTATGTGCATAGAGTTGTTTGTAATAATCTCTGATGATGGTTTGGATTTCTGTGGAATCTGTGGTGATATCCCCTTTATCGTTTTTTATTGCATCAATTTGGTTATTCTCTCTTTTCTTTTTTATTAATCTGGCTAGTGGTCTGTCTATTTTGTTCATCTTTTCAAAAAACCAGCTCCTGGATTTATTGATTTTTTGAAGAGTTTTTTGTGTCTCTATTTCCTTCAGTTCTGCTCTGATCTTAGTTATTTCCTGTCTTCTGCTAGGTTTTCAGTTTTTTTGATCTTGCTCCTCTAGCTCTTTCAATTTTGATGATAGGGTGTCAATTTTCGATCTCTCCTTTCTTCTCATGTGGGCACTCATTGCTATATATTTTCCTCTAGAGACTGCTTTAAATGTGTCCCAGAGATTCTGGTATGTTGTGTCTTCGTTCTCATTGGTTTCGAAGAACATCTTTATTTCTGCCTTCATTTCATTGTTTATCCAGTCAACATTCAAGAGCAAGTTGTTCAGTTTCCATGAAGCTGTGCGGTTCTGAGTTAGTTTCTGCATTCTGAGTTCTAACTCGATTGCACTGTGGTCTGAGAGGCTGTTTGTTATGATTTCTGTTGTTTTGCATTTGCTGAGGAGTGATTTATTGCCAATTATGTGGTCAATTTTAGAGTAGGTGTGATGTGGTGCTGAGAAGAATGTATATTCTGTGGATTTGGGGTGGAGAGTTCTGTAAATGTCTATTAGGTTTGCTTGTTCCAGGTCTGTATTCAGGTCCTGGATAACCTTGTTGATTTTTTGTCTGGTTGATCTGTCTAATATTGACAATGGGGTGTTAAAGTCTCCCACTATTATTGTGTGGGAGTCTAAGTCTCTTTGTAAGTCATTAAGAACTTTGCCTTATGTATCTGGGTGCTCCTGTATTGGGTGCGTATATATTTAGGATCGTTAGCTCTTCTTGTTGCAGTGATCCTTTTACCATTATGTAATGTCCTTCTTTGTCTCTTTTGATCTTTGTTGCTTTAAAGTCTATTTTATCAGAGATGAGAATTGCAACTCCTGCCTTTTTTTGCTCTCCATTTGCTTGGTAGATCTTCCTCCATCCCTTTATTTTGAGCCTTTGTGTATCCTTGCATGTAAGATGGGTTTCCTGGATACAGCACACTGATGGGTTTTGGCTTTTTATCCAATTTGCCAGTCTGTGTCTTTTGATTGGGGCATTAAGTCCATTGACATTTAGGGATAGTATTGTTATGTGTGAATTTGATGCTGTCATTTTGATGCTACCTGGCTGTTTTGTTGGTTAGTTCATGCAGATTCTTGATTGTGTTGATGCTTTTTTACCATTTGGTGTGTTTTTGGAGTGGCTGGTACTGGTTGTTCCTTTATATGTGTAGAGCCTCTTTCAGGAGTTCTTGTAGAGCAGGTTTGGTGGTGATGAAATCTCTGAGTGCTTGCTTGTTCACAAAGGATTTTATTTTTCCTTCACTTATGAAGCTTAGTTTGGCTGGATAGGAGATTCTGGGTTGAAAGTTCTTTTCTTTAAGGATGTTGAATATTGGCCCCCAATCTCTTCTGGCTTGTAGGGTTTCTGCTGAGAGATCTGCTGTGAGTCTAATGGGCTTCCCTTTGTGGGTAACCCGACCTTTCTCTCTGGCTGCCCTTAGCATTTTCTCTTTCATTTCAACCCTGGTGAATCTGACGATTATGTGCCTTGGGGTTGCTCTTCTTGAGGAATATCTTTGTGGTGTTCTCTGTATTTCCTGGATTTGAATATTGGTCTGCCTTGCTAGGTTAGGGAAGTTTTCCTGGATTAATATCCTGAAGAGTATTTTCCAGCTTGGATTCATTCTCTTCATCACTTTCAGGTACACCTATCAGACGTAGATTAGGTCTTTTCACATAGTCCCACATTTCTTGAAGATTTTGTTCATTCCTTTTTGCGCTTTTTTCTCTGTTCTTGCCTTCTCTTTTTATTTCATTGAGTTGATCTTCGACCTCTGATATCCTTTCTTCTGCTTGGTCAATTCGGCTGTTGAAGCTTGTGCATGCTTCACGAAGTTCTCGTGTTGTGTTTTTCAGCTCCATCAATTCACTTATACTCCTCTCTATGCTGTCCATTCTCGTCAGCAGTTCGTCCAATCTTTTTTCAAGGTTCCTATTTTCTTTGCGATGGGTTAGAACATGTTCTTTTAGCTCATTGTAGTTCCTTACTACCCACCTTCTGCAGTCTGATTCTGTCATTTCATCACCCTCCTTCTCCATCCAGTCTGGTTCCCTTGCTGGTGAGGAGTTGTGATCACTTTTAGGAGGAGAGGTGTTCTGGTTTTCGGGAGTTTTCATCCTTTTTACGCTGGTTTCTTCCCATTTTTGTGGGTTTATCCACCTGTTGTCTGTCTCTGTCCCAGGGAGTTGGAGCTTTATGAGTTTCCGTTGCACTACTGCCGTTTTTGATTTTTCTTTCAGGTCGGTCCCGCCCAGCTAGCAGCAGGCCTAGCCTCTGCCTGCCTGCAGGGGCTTTGCTGAGCTGCTGTGGGCTCCGCCCAGCTGCCCTGAGCTCTTCCCTGTAGTCCTTTTTATATGGGCGTAGTTAGAACCGTCTCCGCAGTGGTGGCCCCGCCTCTGTTATGGTGGACTCTCTCTGTTGTGGCAGGTTGCCTCGGCAACGGCGGGTTGCCTCGGCAACTGGCAGCCTGCCTCCGTAGCGGTGGAGAGTCTCAGTAATGGCGGAAAGCCCCTCCCCCACGGAGCCGGGACAGTCCAGGTTCAGCTGTGCTTGGTTTGAAGGGCTCAACCCAGAGGGTTTCCAATTACTGTTTTTGTTTTGGTGGTTGTTGGGGGTGGAGGGGTGGGACCAACCGAGCCTGATCACCTGGCTCCCTGACTCAGAGTCTTTTCTTTTAAGTTGAACGACCCCGCATTCCAGTTGCTTGTTGAAAAGGCGCCGGGATCTCCCGTGCTGCGACTCATGGAGTCCGCTCGAACTGCGGCGCCGGCTCCTGGCGGATTTTTTGCCTAGGAATCTCCTGGCCTGACTCACTGTTTCAGATGAATGGGCAGCTCTGCCGTCTCAGGGCTCTGCTCGCCAGCTAAGAGGGCTCCCAGACCAGTGGCTTTTGTACGGAGAACCGCAGCAACAGGGCGTGGTCACAGCAGCCGCGCGGGCGGAATCAGCCCCGCGGGGGCCAAAACAGCTGCACCGGCTGGTACTGAGACGCTGGCGACCCCTCTGCCTGGGTGTCTCCTGGTCTGTGGGCAATAAGAGTTCGTCTGGAAATGCGGCGTCCACTCACCCTCTGCACTTTCACTGGGAGCTGAAGTCCTGAGCTGTTCTTAGGCGGCCATCTTCCCAGCATTCTGTTTGCTTTTAAAATTTTTCTTTTTTTTTTTCCCATTTGTCTCCTTTTTTTTTTTTTTTTTTTTTTTTTAACTAACTTGGAGATCTTCATGGGCAGATGAATATTTATTATGTCAGATTTGAAATAAAGCCTGCCAAACCACTAGAATATTTATTAAGAGAATTTTTTTAATTGCACAAAATAACACTGGAAGGTCAAACTAGAAACCAATGAAACACAGAGGAAGAACAGATAATCCGGGCATTAAGACTGGAAAGAAGACATTTTTTGAGAAAACCATATTTATAGATTTGACTTAACCATGTATTCATGTATATAAAAAAGCAGCCTTCAAATCAGAAACAAACAAATGAGTCTTAAATATGAAAAGAAATTAGTACATATAAAATTAGTCATGTAACTGCATAAAATAGAAAACACAATACTGTGTCTATACTTCCTTAGTCAATGTTCTGAGGACAAAAAGGACTCCAGAGGAATCCGAAACTTTATGCAAGACTTTTATGAGCAACAACTTTTTTATTTTTGATATTTTTATTTATAGAAGGATTAGGCAAATAACTAAAGATTTTAATGTTAATAGAAACCTTGAGGTAGAAGAAAGTTTGTAAACCTTTGTTTATAAAAGCAATTTTTAAAATTTGTATGTTAATTGTTACCTCTTTTATATTTCAGGTTAGTTTTTAAAAAGCTGTTTAATAAGGAGAATTCCAGATACTAATATTTCCAGTAGTCTGTGTAACTTTGACTATTATCACTTCAAAAATAACAATAGATGCATTTAGGTAGTTAGATTAATGCAATTTTCTATTTTTGCAGTTTTGTTTTATAACATGAGTTTGGATGTGAACAGAAAGGCAGAGTCTTCATCAAGATTCTATTTTTCTTCTAATGGAACTTCTGATGTGATCACAAGAAGCATACAGGTGTCCAACAGAGTAGCTACCTGTAGAACACATCAAGCGTTTATGCGGGTAATGTAAAGTATTTTTTTTATTAATACATATGTGAACTTCAACATTGCCAACAGAGAGCAGCTTATTGTATTGGTATCTTGTTATAAAATTTAGACAAAAGCAACTGTTACCGACCCCTAACTATGACCTGTTGTTCCAGTTAAAGTATTGGACAACCTCAATCCAAGTGATTCAGAGTCGTCTTATTGTAGCATCCTTTTTCACATTTATCACATTTGACCTCATCATTTGAAAACACTGCCTTCTCCTTTCTAAAATTTCAGTTTGCCTATCCCTGTTTATCTATTTGCCTGAAATGTACATCTTCAGTAGCTCTGAGCCTCAAATCTATTTCATGGTACATTTTGAGGGGGTGGGTCGGTGGGGCAGGGAAGTTAGTTTGCTTTTCCTATGACTCCAACAAAGCAGAATCCAACATGACTGCTTCTGGATTATGTCTTTGTCTCCACGCCAGCTTTGTCAGTGATGTCAGTGGGAACTTGCTCAGTTGTAGCATGGTGGGGATCATCTGTGGGCCAGGACGACAGCTCTCATGATGGTTTGGGGTATGTCCTGCCAAAGCACAGCCAATTTCATGTTTCTTTTATTAAAACACTCATTCCCAAACTGATCGTCGCACTCCTCACATTGGTCAAATTTTATCATATGAAGCTGTGCCAGGTCTTTTTCATTAGGGAATGGTGTACTTCATCAGAAAATCTATTGTCACAAAAAGCCAAACTATTCCCAGGAGCCCTTTCTGGGATTTCAAATAGTTGCTTCAGCTTAGGGCTTAATTTTCCCTTAGATACTTATTCCAAGCAAATGCAAGCAAGCATCAAGACTCCAATACACTATTAAATGCTAAGAGCAATAATCCCCATGCTATTTCCTCATTTCCCTTAACAGTTTTTATTGTTGTACTAAAATAAAGCTATTAGATGGTTCAGAGCCAAAAGTATAGAATATTAATGTAACCATCATTTATGTGGTAGGAATTAAAGAGGTTCTTTTTTTCATACTTCGTAGATGTTGTTTTATTTACCTTAGTCAATTGTAGAGACAAATATTGAGACCCTTTTAAAGGGACTAGAAAGGCCAACATTAGATATTCACAAAGAAATACATTGTGTTAAATTTGTAAAAGTGATCTGGTTTATTCAGTTCTGTGTTTCTTGGCGTCATTCCTATAAATAAGGGATCATCAAAATTGTACACCTTTTTTGGAATAAACTTGTAGCAGAAATAATTAACAGAGGTAAGTGTTTTTCTGCATGTATATTTGTAGTATTACCGTGGTTTTGATGGTAGCAGGATTCAGCCATTACCTTTGTACCATATCGCAAATGTTAAATGATAGCATTTACTACTGGGATTGTACATAGCAGAGACCTTTTTTAAAATGGTTGTTTCCTTCAGTATCTTTTTCTCTTCCTAAGTTACCTCACTTGTGTTTGGAACACTTTTAAAACTCATATGTAGAAAGACATAAAGTTACTCCAACCTTCTCGTTTGTAACATACCCACACAGAGGACAAGAACCACAGTTGCAGCTACCCTGAACTTGAATTCTGTTAAGGATCTGTAGCTGTTACTTAGGAATATGTAGGAATGTAATGACTGTACTTTCCTACTTCCACCAGGGTGGTAGTCTAAGGCATTAGGAAACATTAATAGTCAAAAGGTTCTACAGTCTGAAAGAATAGGACAGCAACTTGAATTCTTTCATCTCCCCAATAATACCACAAAAGATGAACAGCTGTCAGGATGCCTGGGTTGTTCCTGTGTTCCATAAATGCATCCGGTACCAGGAGTGGGAGTGTTAACATATATGTCTATTTTATTTCTGCACTCTTTACAATGAAATGAAGTGACACTTGTTAATTGTGTACTTGGGCCCACAACCCTCACTTGTCGGAGGACTCCCTGCCTGTCTGATGGTTGGGGATGCTTTACTTAGATAGTTGTCCCTACTGACCATTTACTCAACTAATTTGAGGTTTAGTGAGTACCTATATTGTATCAAATTCTGTATATACTGGTGAATAAGACATAAAAAGATTACTACCCTCATGGAGCTTAGTCTACTGGGGCGAGACAAAAAATAATATGAAAATATACATTTTATAGTATTTTGGAAGATAAGGGTGACAAATGGAAAAGGAAGGCAGAGTACAGAAATGTGCAGTGCTGGAGAAGGAGTGGCATGTAAAATTGTAAATAAGATAGAGTAGGCTTCATTCAGAAAGTGATATCTGAGCAAAGACTTGAAGGTAGTAAGGAAGTTGCCCACACAGATGTCTAGGGCTGGTCATATGTTTAGGGTATCATAGCAACAACACCTGTTGGGCTTCTTAAAACACAAATTGCTGGCCCCCATCTAGAATCCCTGATTTAGTAGGTCTGCAGTGAGGCCTGAGAATTTGCATTTCTGCCAAGTTTCCAGGGGACACATACTTTGAGAACCCCTGGTCTAGGAGAAGAGTATTCTAGCAACAAAAGCTGAGTCAAAAGACCTAAGAATGTACCTGGTTATTTTAAAGGACAATGGGGAGGCAAGGATGGCCAGAAATGTAAGCAAAGGGATGAATGGTGGGAGGAGAGGTCATGGGGAAGCTGCGGCTTTTTCTCTGAAAGGAGGATCTATAACAGCATTTTGACAGAGAAGTCACATGATCTAACACAGCAGCACTGTAGCTGCCGTGCTGTGAATAGAATAGGAGATCAAGGGATCTCCTACACAGAGAAGAGGCTACTGCAGTAACGCAGGTGAGAGATGTTTCCAACAAAACTGGTGGCGGTAGATGTGGTAAGAAGTAGTTGAAGTCAGTTTGCTGACACCCAGTTTACAATTTGCTGACAGACTGGATGTTGGGCATTTGAGAAAGAGAGGCTCTATGATGACTCCAGGATCTTTAGCCTGAGCCACTAAGAGAATGTAGTTTTCATTAACTGAGACGCTATTGCAGAATACCTTTTGAGTAGAAAATTCTAGAGTTCAGTTGTGGGCCTGCTTAGCTAGAGAGACCTATTTTAAATGTAAATATCAACTAAGCCTTTGTATATTCTTCTGTTGAGGAGAGGCAGAGAACAGGAAAGGTAACTTAATGTATCTTTGGCATATGGATGGTATTTAAAGCTGTGTAAGATGGCTGAGATCAGAAGAAGGCCAGCGTCTGCACTCTGGGCCACTCACTACGTGAAGAGGTTGGCAAGAAGAGCCTGCAGAGGAGATGAGAAGGCTGAACCAGTAAGAAAGGAAGGAAGTCAACAGGGTGGTGTGTCCTGGAAGTGAAGCAAATAAAGGAAAGGGAGAAAGCATGATGATGTTTTTTATACTGCAGCTTGATCGAGTAAGATGAGGGCTGAAAACTCACCATTGGATTTACATTGTGGAGGCTGTTGGTGTTGGTGACAAAAGCATCTCAGACAAGTAACGGGGGAAAGAAGAGGAATCAAAAATGTTACAGGCTATTCTTTCACAAAGTTTTGGCCCAAAGGTGACCAAAGAAATGGAGTTTGTGGGTCAGTAGCTGAAGTGGAGTGAAGAGTTTTCTGGGTTTTTGTCTTTTAAGACAGGAGAAGCATTAGCATGTTTTTCTGCTGATAAGCATGCTCCAGTAGAGCGAAAAGCTTGGGATACATGTGACAGAGGAGAAGAACTGGAGCAAAATTCTTGAAGGCAAGAAGGGAAGGATTAAATGTACAAGTGAAAGGGTTGGTTCTAGATAGGCACGTGCCTGGTTCATCTGAGTATGTGCTTACAGATGCTGAGTAGATGTGGTGATGGAGACTATGGAAGTTCTCATCTGATTGTTTTAATATTCTCTGAACTAAAGCAAACTCATCAACCAGAGTAGGGATGGAGGAAGTGGTATTTGGAATTTGGGAAGAAGATGTAAAATAGTTTTCTAGGAGAATGTGAGAATAACAAAATAATACAGGATGGTTGTCAGATGGTGTTTAGGACCACTTGCACTCATAAAGTTGAGTGTAGCTTGTGTGGTGTGGTTTTTTCCCGTCATGTTCAATCTTACAGGCAGGAGTGGATGAAGAGTTACAATTAACCAGGGTTTTGGTTTGGTCAAGAGAATGAATTGAAGCAGGCTAAGGAGGGGGGCACACCAAGAGGGTAAGGGACCAGGAAAGAAATTTGCATTGGAGATCCCAGTAGGATCAATTGTTGGAATTGACTATTAAAGGGATCAAGCTGCAAAGATTTCATAGATATTATAAAATATAAAAGCCCTTGGAGACTTAAAGGTGAGGAAGAGGTTGAATTTTGCTTTTATTTTTGCTCACAATTCTTTGATTTCCTCATGCAAATGAAAGTCTTTAAACTTACTTTTACTTGCAAAATCTATTACATTCTTTGATGGTAGGGAATTTGGCTATCAAAAAAATTCCAGCTCTTAAGTTTATGTAAAACTCATGTTAAAAAAAATTCTTTTTTAATCACAATTTTTTAGTTTTATGCTAGAACTTCTTGGACTAGAAGTGACGTTTTTAGTAATCTAATAAGGATCTATATTAAGCTGGCATGTAGATTTTTGTTCTGGCATGTTATTTTTCTGAGGCTATGTGTTCATTTATCTAGTTGGTAAGGGAATCAGTTTTCTTAAGTCTAATCATAATTAAAATAGTATCACGTAGGTTTACTTGACTGGTAATTTTTTTCCTCATAAGACAAGGAAACATCTTTTTTTTTTCTTTAAAAAATATTGTTATTTTAGTTGATTATAATTATTCCAAGCTTTAATTTTTGCCATTAGAGCCATACAATTATTAGATTTTGCTAAAACAGAACAGAATTTAACTTTGAAAGTTCATAATGATGCTTCTATAATAGAAGGGAAATGGTTAATTTCATTTATACCTTTTAGTGTTTTATCTATTGAAATCCTCTTCTATTAGACATCACATTGTCCTCTATGGAAAGGTATTTCCCCATTCATGTAAGTATATGAAAATCTTTGTTTTTGCTTTATTTAAATATACAACTTGATGAAATTTTAGAG